CACACACACACACACACACCCACCCCACCCCACCCCCCCCCACTTCAGTGCTACATAGGCAAGAAGCGGCTCGAAAAGGCCATCGAGCTCTACAAAAAGACAACCCCAGGAGGCGCCGACGACAAGTTCACCGTGACGTGGCACCCCTTCTACCTGGACCCGACGCTGCCGCCCACGTCGCGGCCGCTCGAGGAGGTCATGGCGCGCAAGTTCGGGTCCGTCGAGCGGGTGCGCGCCATCCACGAGCGCATGACGGCCACGGGCCGGCAAGAGGGCATCGACTTCACGTGGCAGGGGCGGGTCGGCAACACGCGCGACTCGCACCGGCTGGTGCAGCTGGCGCGGGCCAAGGGCGGGCCGTCCGAGGAGGGGGTGGCGCGGGCGCAGGACCGGCTCATCGGCTCGCTGTTCCGCGCCTACTTCGAGGAGGGCGCCGACATCACGAGCGCCGACGCGCTGGTGGCGGCGGCCGAGCGCGGCGGGCTGGACGCGGCCGAGGCGCGCGCGTGGCTGGAGCAGGGCAAAGGCGGCGCCGAGGTGGACGAGGAGGTCGAGAGGGCCTACCAGCGGGGCGTGCACGGGGTGCCGCACTTCATCATCAACGACGACGTCGAGGTCAGCGGCGCCCAGGAGGCCGGCACCTTCCTGGCCGAGCTGGTGCGCGCCAAGAAGGCGGCCGAGGGCAAGGGGGCAAAGGGGGCGTCGGCGGCGTCGGCGGACCCGTCCATGACCTGCTAAAGTAGAATCTGTGCGATATGTCGCTTTCCGTCACCTTTTTTTCACCTCCTCTCCCGAGCGATTTGTCGGTCCAGGGGTATCATGTGAGCTCTTCTCATTTCATCCCAAGATTTCATCGTAAGATTTCGTGGTTGTGTGCTCGGAAGCAAAGCGCCGTCGTCGTCGCCGCAGTCACATGTGGAGCAGCCCACCGAGGTCCTTGTCCATGGTGCGTAGCCTCGCCTGGAGTTCCCTCTTCTTCCTGTCCAGCTCCCGGACCCCTTCTTCCTCCCGCCTGAGGTCGTCTTCGGTCATGCCGTCGTCTCCCCCAGCGGCCGCACCATCCTCCTCCTTCTCCTCCTCCTCGCCCGCCTTGTCGTCGTCGTAGTCGTCGGCATAATGATCCCTATTCATGCGGGCCAGACGCTCGGCCTGCTCGGCGACGCGGGCCTCGTAGTACGCGAGCGTGTTGTTCTGGTGGGCGTGCCTCCGCCGCAGCTCGGGGATGCGGTCCAGCGCCCCCGGCAGCGGGTAGACTTGACACAGCTTCTCGGCGCCGCGCAAGAGCACCTCGATGTCGACCTCGCCGTCAGCGCCGCGGGGGCCGCCGCGGCCGGCCCGGGTTATCTGGCTGTGCAGGTCCCCGCCGAGCACGGCGGCCACGGCGGTGTTACGCCGGGAGCCCCCGGCCGAACGACCGCCGGTCCCGGGGGGAGGGCCGGTGGTCACCTCGCCTGCGGCGACGTTGAAGACGGTCTGGCGGCGCTTCTTGCCCGTGTTGCCTGCCAAGTCGTCCGCATCTGCGGGTTCGGGGTTGGCCGGTTTCTGCGGCTGCTGTGGCTGGGGCGGGGGCGGAGGAACGGAGAAGAGGGCGCGCTCGTGGGCTTCGGTGTCGCGGATCAGGGAGGTGATGTCGTGGGTCGACAGGAGGGCGTTGGTGAAGATGCGTGGTGGAGGGAAGCTGCAAGACAGCTGTTAGTCTCAGCATATGATTGGGCACTCATGTCCAGTGGTCTGTCCAGTGGTGCTGCTTACGGCAGACTATCGATGCCCTGGCACGAGATGGCGATTTGCTCGAGGTGGGCAGCAAGCAGTGATGCCGACATTGTGCCCGGCAGGCCGCGCCGTCCGCCCGCCGTGGCTGTTAATTGACGTGTCCGGGCTGCTGCGGAAATTTGTCGCGGGCCTCAGCGAGGTGGTATCAGACCGCTATCAGATAAATGTCTAGGTAGCCTTTGTCGACAACAGTAGTGGTGTTTCTGGCGGGGCCGAGTGACTTGATCCTCGAGACGCGTCGCGGTCCGTCACTGCCCAAAGGTGATTTGATGGGTGAGGGGTCCATCAATTCGCCCGCTGGCTTCACCGGCCCCATCCACCATACGAGCAGACCGTGCGAGCAGAGGTGGGATGCGGGGCCTTGTTCTGGTGGGGGTCTCAGCTAGCCCGTTCAGCTCCAATGGAAGAAGCCCCTGTTCTAGATACCTTGGAGATTGGTATTTGATACCTCCAGTCTCAGCAACTTGCCGAACCGGTATCTACCATCCTTGGCTGAATAAAAGATGCTGTAAATAGAAAAATGCATGTCTCACTTTGCAAAAATCGCCTTCCACCGCATTCCAGAAGCCTGTTTCGATTCGGCAGTCTGCTAGATCCCCACAAATTTCCACGCACACAACCTGAGGCGCATTCTTCACCCACCTCAGTCTATTTTTTTTCCTCGCCACCCTGTGGTTTGCGCGGTTTAAAGGTCTCATTGGGCACGACGCTGCGTGCGCGTTGCTACCTCGTCATGCCGGTCCGAGTTTTCTTGCTCGATGCCGCCGCGTCGTGGCCGCTGATACGCCTGACTGCTGCAGCCGGAGTGGTACCCAGTGGTGCTCCCGTCCTGTTGGCTGCCACCACGACACCACAGCGGCACGCGCCATGCACCCTGCGTGTCCGTGTTGCCGTTCCAATTTCCAATCTAGCTGAGCCGAAGGACCACTCCAGCCCAGTCCTTCCTCGGCGCCCGGAGCCCGTCTCTTGCCTGCCACACGCTCGCCGTTGCACAGAGCGTCCCGTCGTCCCCCTTCACCACCACGGCTCGGCGACGAGCCATTGGCGTGCTCCCCGTGCGCGAGCCTGACCGTCGCTGTGTTCGCTGTGTTCGCCGTGTTCGCTGTATTTCCTCCAGGGTGCAACGACGCGGGGGGCTCGAGTCGCGACGCCAGCAGCATTGCTGCCCAAGCTGCCGTTCCGGTCCTTTCCTCTGCCTCCGAGTCCCGGCTTCGATAGGCTACTGTAGCCCGCTGTCCCCTCCAGGCCGGCTCCGCACAACAGCAGACGGCGCGCTGCCACGGGTTTCCTGGCGCCATGCTGTCCCTTCCCGGCGACCCGCCCACTCGCTTTAGCACGCCTGGGTGAAATGCTTCGAGGTCGCATGTACCTGACTTGGACCCAAGGTATAAGACCTTTTTGCGCTCCGCTTTCCCATCCCTTGCCCGCTCCCAGTCTTTCTCCCGACCGCATTCCTGCTTGTCAAAGGGGTTTGCTCAACAAGGATCGCCGGGGCAAGCAGCTCTCTCCCAGGAACCAGTTCCGCCGGTTATTATTTTCAAAAATTTCTAGGCCACTCTCTATTGACAACCTGATTGCCAGCCTCCATCCCGGAATCCGGCAAGGATATTCTCTACACCTATCCGTCTGCCTCTCTGTCCACCTTTCAAGGTGCATTCATAAATGCTCTGCCCGCCCTTCTCTCCAGACTGGTCCTACCTACCGGTACACAGCATCCCTCCCGCCGTCTCTAGGCTGTGTCTGCAACCCCCAAAGTTGTGGTTTGCTCCGTGCGTCACCACCGCAGCCTAAGCGAGTGCACCTAGTCTTCAGTCTTGCACTCCGTCTCCCCAAAATCCCACCCACGAGACCCGTTTATTCGTGGGCTCGCCTGTCGGTCGACCCCCTCTTAGTTCGTCCGTCAGCTTCGCGCACGCCGTGGTTCCAAAAGAGCGGGAAATCCTGACCAACCATCCGTCGACACAGCGGCGAGCGGCGCACATCATTTGCTCAACAGACCGACTACCTTGCACGCTTCTGAGCTTGCTGAGGTCCTCTGGCCGTCCCGTCCACCGCCCGTTTTCTTTGCATGTTTGGTTTCCGCTGCCCACGCGGTGCTCCCCATTCTCGTGTCTGCCCGCCCAGGGACCAGGACCACCCCTGCCACGGCACCCTGACCGCCGCTGTCATACATACCGCACCCACCCGCCTTCTATTTCTCTGCCCGCGCTGCTCCAATAATTCCAATCGGCACCGGGTCTTTATTCCCTCACCCCTGGCTCACCGGCCTCGCCTGGGCCAACGCCGACCGCCTCTCTCCCTGGCTGGCGCATTCTTCTCCTGACTGGGGTGCCCTGGAGATCGGAGGGGACTGCTCTGTGCACGAAATCCTGCACCTCCATCACCTTACAGCATTATCATGACCACTTATCGAAGCTCATTGCACTCTCCTCGTTGGAGGTTCATACTCGGGTTGCTCTCGCCTTGATATCACCCTCGCCACTGTCGTGATCCCGCCGCCGTTGTCACACCTTGGGGGAAAAAAAAATTATAAACTCTACCCCCACATAACCGCCCCAATCCCCGGTTGCCCAGATCGATCAGCTGAGATCCTGGGGAATCCCTCACCGGCTCCCGAATCCATCCTCGCCGATTGATTTCGGCAACAACTACGGGCAGGTTGGCCCTTCCTACCACCACGCCACACCACCCTCCGTCTCGGCATCCAAGACTTTGCCGCAAATATGCCGCGCAAGTCGGCGCCGAGCAAGATGAAGAAGAAGGTCGCCTCCGAAGGCCACGGCCCAGCTGGCCCGACCTCACCGCCCCAGACCCCAAGGTCTTCCTCTCCACCGTCCAAGGAGAACGGCGGCCGGGCCAAGGGAGGCTCGCCCGTCGCCCAGAAGCACCAGGAAAAGCGGGGACGGCTGCCCTCTCGGCAGCGCTTCGGCACCCACCCCGCTGCAGGGAATGGCTTTTCCTTCAGCGACTATCATCCCGACTCGTTCCGGCGCGAGCAGCTGTCGCCCCGCTCCTCCGCCCCGTCCTCCTATGATGATTCCGACGACGAGTCGTCGAGCAGCGACAGCCCCCCTCGCTCCCACAGCTCCACCGAGTCAATCAAGCCCAGCGTTCGGTCGCCCCGGCGCAAGACCCCCGTCCAAGACGATGCCCGTCGCCGAGCCCAGCCTGTACGCCCGCCGCGCCCGCCACCGACCGCCGCCAAGGCTCCCTTCGTTGCCACGCGCATCATAGTCGAGGCGACCTTCGAGGTGTACGAGCTCGACGGCAGCGACGATGGGCAGTACGCCATCATCCGACCCGACGTGATAGAGTACGCCGAGTCCGAGCGCAGCCGATCACGCTCTCGGCCAAGGCAAGACCATGTTGATCGCAAGATCGCATCCGACTTCCGCGCCCTCGTGTTTTCGTCGTCGTCCGAGGACGAGGACGAGGACGAGTATATGAAACACGTCCAGAGGATGCGCGAGGAGAAGCGGCGCAAGCGCATGAGCTCCGGCAGTATCGGCAAGCGCACCATCAGCGAGCGCGGCAGCGATAGCGACCGCGAGGACCTCCTGTTCCAGGGCTACATCAACGCCGCCGGCCACCAAGAGTCGGGCGAGATGCGCCGCATGCGCAGGAGGCTGGGCAACCGTCACAGCCTGCATTTTCAGGATCCGCCGCCGCCCAGAATCGACGAGCTGGAAGAGCCGGACTCGGGCGAGGAGATCCTGGACCTCGACGACAGCGAGCTCCTTGCGCGAGAGCTGCCCTTTTACGACTACGTTAGCATGGAGATCGACTCATCTTGATCTGTGTCCTCCAGAGACACGGAAACACAGATCTCCAACCTTTTTTTCGTGGCCCTTCACTTTTAATGGAGGACCTCGCGATGATGACATGGGACGCAAATGTCGACCACGCGCACCTCGTGCCCAGAATCAATGGGCGATGGGGTTTACCACATCAAATACGTTATGCACGGCGTTTGCAGTCTAGATCCAAGAGGAGCGCTCCAAATGGTTTTCGTGCACCGCCTGCCCACCTCTACCCTGTCCGCCACGGGAGAAGGGTTTCCTGCCTGTTCTATATCTGCCTTCTTTTCCACTGCTCCCATCTTGGCCAAAAAAAACCCATGGACCCGGCATGATTTACGACTTTACGACAGAACATATGACACCTTAGTTGAAAAATAAGACTGCCCAAGACGGACGCAAAGGCATAGAGGCTTCTCAAGCGTGGCTACTTGTATCGTTCTTGCTCTCGGTTTCACCTTGCATGTTCGCGTTCCCGTGTTGGCTTTGTATGATTTTTTTTTCCTGAGCATGTTTTTACAACCTTACTGTGATCTACTCGTTGCTTATCGATTCAGGGGCGGGGAAAACTAAACGGCCATTCGTTGCCTTTCTACCCATTGGCGAGTATCGGATCAGTCAATGGGCATTGTGAAAGGGGAGATAGACAAAATGTGCATTGCTCTGCGGATTGCATTGAGCCGCCAGTTAGCATGCCCTACTTTGATAGCATAGCTTCAGGGACTTGTTGCCGCAAGCATGTCGTTTTGCGTCGTTGTAATATCTATAGCGATTTGCTGAAGTATTTACATATTGTGCACAATGTGTCCTTGTCAATTTTCAATTTTTTCACTGTCATTGCCGGGCTACCGACGATTTGATCGTTTCAACAACACATGAGATGTGATAGCGCGCCATGCAAAAACATGGACAAAGAGGGTCCTTCTGTCGGTTGATGCAGAGTTCATCAGATGCGTCAGCCGTGGCGTGTAACGAGCTACAGCAGACTGTAAATAAAAGTAAACTCACCGGGAAAAGGCTGCAAAATCTCAAACACTCTTTCCCCCTTCTTTTTTTCCTTGGGGTCTCTCCCGACTTTCCTTTTCCTGCCAACTCATACAACAACCTAGACACGCCCAAGCCGCCGCCAAGGCTGACTTACATAATCATTTCGGTTGGTCGAAAATCCAACCGCCCGTCACACAGCACTCAGCGCTCGGTCCAAGCAGCCTGCCTTTCCAGACCGTCAACCACCAGCCACGCCGCCATCTCGACCGCCGCGGCACCGATTGAACCGTCAGGGGCAGATTGCAGGTGCCGGATCGCACCACCAACTCGGCGACACGCGCGTTTCCAACCTCATCCCCGCGACCGCGACACGCACCCCCCTCCCCGGACCTAGAGCGCACACCAGAGCCTCAGGGCCATCCGCTGACGTGTGTGCTGGGCTCCTCGTCGCTTGTATAACATTGCCTAAAGTACTATTGCTTTCATTGCATTCGCCACGGCCAACGCCCCTTTAACCGAGATACCCATCTGCCCGCCGACACCTGCCCGCAGACACCTGCCCGGCTCGCCTTTACTACTCCCAGCCCCCCAGGCCGCCCGAGCGCGACGAAACGGAAATCCATACTCGTCCAAGCCCGCGCCGACATCCTTCCTGCGACCCCTACGCCACCCAAGTTCTTGAAAGAAGGAAAGGGACGGAAAGACGACGGGGAAAACGCGGCCACCGCTCGCAAGAATGAACCAACATGGCGCCCAGCAGGGCCAGCCGGCGCCCGGCCCGCCGCAGAACCCCCCCATGTACCGGCCCGAGCAGATGCTCGGCCTGACCGTCCTTAGGCAGGAGGATAAGGAGAAGTACGAGAAGGGACTGCGCCAGCTGTGGAACCTGTTCGAGTCGGAGCCCGAGGGGTCTCCCAGCAAGCTGCAGGCCAAGAAGAAGATCCAGGATTTCGGCCTGATGCTGCACACGAAGCTGCGCAACATTCGGCAGCAACAACAGCAAGCCCAAGCCCAGGCTCAGGCCCAAGCTCAAGGTCAGGGGCAGAATCCAGGGCAAGCTCAACAGCAAGCCCAGCTGCAGCAGCAGGCCCAACTCCAGGCACAGCAGCAGGCACAGCAGCAGGCACAGCAGCAGGCCCAACAACATGCCCAACAGCAACAACAGATGCAGAACCGACAGAACATGCAGGGGCAGCAACCGCAGTTACAGCAGCAACAGATGTCTCCGAACCAGCAGCGCGTCGGAGCTACGCAGGCGGTTCCCGGTGCCGGTCCTGGAGTGGCTGCCCCTGCACAGCAGGGAGCGCCGGCGCAGGCGGCCAACGGCGCAATGCGCATCCCCGATAGCATCATCGCGCACGTCAGCAAGATGTCGTTCCATTGTCATTCCAGCATCTTGGAGAAGGGGCCCGAATTTGTGAACAAGTGGCGACAAGACATGAAGAAGAAGTACGCAAACGCGCTATGGCAGATGGAGCAAGCAAACTTGACGCTCAAGAAGATCGACCAGACCATCAAGGACCGCAAAGAGAAGAACAACCCGCTGTCCGCTGACGAGACGAAGATCTTCACGGAACGCAGGACAAAGTGCGAAGCCTCTTACCAAGAAGCAAGTCGCTACGTGACAAGCTTTAGGAGACAGCAGGAGATGTTCGAGCAACAGCAGCGGGCAGCGGCCGGCCAGCAGACTGCTGCCGGCGCGGGGGCGAATCCTGGTGCTGCGGGAACTCCGGCCCGGATGCCGCAGGGGCAGCCGGCCGCAGGGCAGCAGCCGGGGCAAGCCGTGACGATGCAGAACGTCCAGGCAAACATCAATGGCGCCTTTGAGGCCGCCAAGAACCAGCAGATGACAGGCATGGGACGGGGTGGTCTGCCCGGAGGCGTCGGCGCCCAGGGCCCTCAACCGCCTTTGCCCCAGCAGCAGCAACAGCAGCAGCAGCAGCAACCGCAGCAGCCCCAGGCTCACCCGCCGCTCAACCCGGGCGCGCCTGCTGGATCCCCGATGGCCCAGGCGCCACCGCCACTGCCTGGTCAGCAGCATATCAAGCTGGAGCCCGGGACCCAGCAACAGCACCCACCGCCCCACCCCCCACCCGTCAACACGGCCCTCACGGCTGCCGCGGCGGCGCAGGGCATCCCGTCATCGGCTGGCGCGCCCACGCAAAACCAGGCCCGCGGGCTCCACACGCCCCAGTCCGCGACTCCTACCACGACCCAGCCACGGCCACTTACCCATGCAGCTGCCGTCAACCTTGCCAGCCGCCACAGCTCTTCGACCTCGGTCCCGACCTTGACGCCGCAACAGCAGCAGCAAGCCCAACAACAGCAGCAGCAGGCTCAGCAGCAAGCCCAACAACAGCAGGCTCAGCAACAAGCACAGCAGCAACAAGCACAACAACAGCATCAACAACAACAACAGCAGATGCAGCAACAGGCAGCCCTCGGCGCCAACGGTATCGGAACGCCAACTGCGACTAGCGCCGGCGGCGTCATTGGCACTGTGCCTCCGCAGCAGCAGCCCGCGCCGCACCAACAGCAACAGCAGAACGGCGCAGGTCATCCGCACGCGCATCCGAGCCACCAACAAGGGCCGCCGCCGCACCGACACCCGATCGCCAAGCAGCTTCCCGAAAAGCTCCAGCAGACGCCGCAGGCAGTCGCCATGACGGGCGGATTGGGACCTGGCCGCCCGACTATGACAGGCGGAGGTGCAATCCCCGGTGGTGTACTTAATCAGCCGGTCCTGACCAAGCATCAGCCCGGAACTATAGTGTCCGAGGCGGACGGAGACCGGGTGTTGAGCAAGAAGAAGCTCGACGAGCTCGTGAGGCAGGTCTGTGGAGGCACGGCCGAGAGCCTGGACGGCAATATCCTGACTCCCGAGGTCGAGGAGGTGAGTTTTACACGGTTGATTGCCTGCTCGATTTTGAGTTAGACCTGCAGACGTCTGACTAACATATGCCCGCTGCGGCTCAGTCCGTCCTCAACCTGGCCGACTCGTTCGTCGACCACGTGCTACACACGGCCTGCCGCAACGCCAAGGAGCGCGGGTCCAAGGTGCTCGAGATCCGCGACATCCAGCTCGTGTTGGAGCGCACCTACAACATCCGCATCCCCGGCTACTCGGCCGACGAGCTGCGCACGGTGCGCAAGGTCCAGCCGTCGGCCGCGTGGATCTCCAAGATGAGCGCCGTGCAGGCCGCAAAGGTGATGCCCGGTAAGGATGGCATGTGAGAGGGACCGACTCGGGTGGAAACCTTGTCATCCGATTTGATTTCCTAAACTGCATCCCGCCTAGTTAGACAGCCACTTACACTTTTTCCTCCTTTCTTCTCTTTTCCCTTTTTTTTTTTTTTTGCCGTCAAGATTTCAAAACCCTTCTACGCATGATACCGAGGAGGCGAACCGGCGTTTGGGCTACGGGTGGTTATGGAAAGCGTGAGGGATCACAATCGGGGCAGTCCTTCCGCTCTTCTCTGTTTATTATTTATTATTTGGTGCTCCCTTCTCCGTACGTTCGGGGAAAATGGTTAATGAATGGTGGTGGTCTTGATTACTACTCATCCTCGGCTTGTTCGCTTCATATGTGAACCTTCCCAGCAGCTGAAGAACTGGGGTTCGACGTGTAATTCATACGTACCAAAGTACCTAGTTAGTGAGGGCGTTCTCAAAGCGGCTGCATGCATTGGTGGGGTTGTGTCTTGAGCTCCTTGTCCCCTTGTGATGCCGGGAGGAGCAGTTCGCCAGCCTAAGTCCCGAGGTGGTTGCTATTGGATGCGGCTCCAAATGGCAGTTCCTCATTAGGCAACGTCACCCCTCCACGGCGGCAGAACTTAGAGCTTCCATTGCCCAGCCAGTCCTGTCGGTACTTTGTATTTCTTATCGCCTTCATCTTCGCCGTATATCGTTTTTATTGCAATCATGTGGTAGAGAAACCTGCTCTTGCAATTCACACAGGGCCTCGCATGAATTGACCTTGGTGACAACATCCCCATCTCCATGTTTCTATGCGGAGCGCGACATCGGTAGCGCGCGCTAAATGGCTCAGATATGTCCCATTGGATAGACGGTACAAGGCTGCACTCTGTTTTGTGTGCATGGGTACCAGGCATCAGATACCGCGTCGCCAGTATTAAACCCGAACAATCATCTGCTGCCCGCCCACTGCGTCGTCCTATATGCCCGAATAGCAGTCTTGCTTCCAACAGCTCACAGCAGCAAACCGGGTGGTCGAACGGGTGAAAACCGTGGCGAAAAGAAGTCACAACCGTCTTCCACGGGTGAGGGCCAGGAAACCCCAAGCTCGCTGATTCGAATCCGTCCAGTGACGGCGATTTTAGAGCTAGCAAAAACCGCAAGTTGCTGGGTTTTCGTAACGATGCTGTTTCACGACGGCAGCGTGAGCTTTTTTGCCTTTTCTTTTTCTATTTTATTTGTTCATATTTTCGTGGGATGCAATGAGAATTGCCGTGACAGGGGTTCGTATTTGTGGTGTGAAGGCGGCACGACGGCTGCTGTTGAGCCGCCGCACTTGGGGTCTGCCTGGGCTTCAACTATCAGAATCCACCAGCGTCCATTCCATCAGCCAGCCCGCCAGGCAGCATCAACAACGTCACGCAGTTGTGCGTGCTGTGGGTCCGCCAAGCAGCTGTCGGCAGATTCAATGTACCTGGTACTGCCAGCTGCGGTGTGTTGCTCACTCTATCCCGGGTACACAGCTACCTCAAGCGTCCCCACAGCCCGAGAGCTCACTGGCCCAGCTGGCCCACGCCCAAAAGCAATCGCCGCCGCTCAATCTCCCAAAAGCCGGGTGCGTCTGGCAATCTTTGTGAGAACGAAAGCCCAACGACGACAAAGCAGCCCATCCCGCGGACACGCCCGCAGCCCTCAACGCCATCAAGCCCACCGCCGGACCGTCGGCGTTGCTTTCCCAGAGCCCGACCGCATCGAGCAGGCGGCGCCAGCATCGTCCAACCCCGTTTGCTGAAACCCCGGAACCTAGTTTTTCCTGACTTTTGCGTTGGGTGGCCACGAGTTCCCGTTCCCCTGCCATAATCACGAGCGCGCGCTTCCGCAAGAGAGTTTGGGCGCCTGCAAAACCCACAACCTCGCTCGCCCTCCGACCGACGGCCCTTTCCCCGCGCCGCAGCAACGCCGGCCACGCACCCAGCGCCACTCCCCAGCGCCCTTTCCTACCCCCCGGTCAGATTCCTTGACTGTTTCAGAAACCCACGCCAGTACTCGCACACAAAGCCATGCCTGGCAAAACCCCCAACGGGAAGGAGCCCGTCGAGAGCGAGAGCCGCAAGAACCAAGATGTCGATATGAAGGACGAGTCATCACGAAAGACGAAAGGCAAGAAGCTCAAGGAGGGCGACGAAGAGATGACCGTTGTTGTCCCGCCATCCAAGTCCAAGACCTCCCCGTCCGGCAACGCCGACGAGGACGTTGATATGGACGACTCGGCCAAGGATGATGATAACGGTGATGTCAAGTCTGATCCCGTCGCAGGTAAGCAATCGTGCCACGCGCGCTATCCTCTTCACTACCATAGCTGCCATTATCATTGCTCGCACGATGCTGACGACGAAGGGTGCAGATATCAAGAGCAACTTCGCGCTGCTTGAAAAGGCCGTTGCCCATTTCGATGCCCGCTTCTCCCTGCGCGCCCTGCGCTCCATCTCTTCCCTCCGCAAGCGCCTGACCTCCGACATCATCGCCCAAGCCATTGTCGAGACCTTCCCGGCCACGGTCGTTTCGGGCAATGCTGCCAAGCAGCTCCTGCTGAGCATCGGGAAGGAGGGTCTGCAGCTCAGGCGCCAACCGGGGTCCGAGATGGAGATCGATGGTGAGCCCCGGGGCCAGGCTAAGAGCAACACGTCCAAGAAGGAGGCCAAGGAGATCATCCCGGAGATCGACATCTTCATTGGCATCCTGATCCAGGTCTTCCTCTACGACTCGAAGCAGGTTCAGCGCGGAGCCGAGTTCTCGCAATACCTGTGCGACCGCATCCACTCGCTCAACCGCCGCACCCTCGACTCGCTGTCCGCCAAGGTCTACTTTTACTACTCGCTCTTCTTTGAGCGCCTCGCACCACTCCCCCCCTCGCCGCAGTCGCCCATCGTCTCTATCCGCCCCACCCTGCTCGCTGCTCTCCGGACTGCGGTTCTGCGCAAGGATATCGACACACAGGCTTCTGTCATCGTGCTCCTGCTCCGAAACTACCTACTGACGTCGCACATCTCCCAAGCCGACCTCTTGGTGTCGCACACACAGTTCCCCGAGAATGCCGCCAACAACCAGGTCGCCCGTTATCTTTACTACCTGGGGCGCATCCGAGCCATTCAGCTGCGGTACACGGAGGCGCACGAGCACCTGACGGCGGCGACACGCAAGGCTCCGAGCTCCCACTGCGCCGTTGGCTTCTCGCAGACGGCCACCAAGCTGCTCCTGGTAGTTGAGCTGCTCATGGGCGACATTCCGGACCGTGCCACGTTCCGGCAGCCAACTCTGGAGCAGGCGCTGCACCCGTACTTTTTGCTCGTTCAGGCAGTTCGGGTGGGCAACCTCGAGGACTTCGAAACGCTGATTGCGGACAACGCCGACGTGTTCCGCAAGGACTGCACATACACGTTGATCCTCCGGCTGCGGCAGAATGTCATCCGGACGGGTATCCGCATGATGTCGCTGTCGTACAGCCGCATCTCGCTTCGCGACATTTGCATCCGGCTCCATCTTGGTAGCGAGGAGTCGGCCGAGTACATTGTCGCCAAGGCAATCAGGGACGGCGTGATTGAGGCCACGCTGGACCGCGAGCGCGGCTTCATGAGGAGCAAGGAGATTGGTGATGTTTACGCCACGCGGGAGCCCGGCGAGGCATTCCACGACCGTATCCGGGCCTGCCTGGCACTCCATGATGAGAGCGTAAAGGTATGCTACTCGCGTTGCTTTGGACTGACACCCGTTCCTATATGACCAGAACACCAACTGACCTCGAATATTGCGACAGGCAATGCGCTTCCCCATGAATCAGCACCGCCTTGAGCTCAAGAATGCACAGGAAGCTCGCGAGCGGGAGCGGGAGATGGCCAAGGAGATCCAGGAGGGCGACCTTGACGAAGACGACCTCGGAGGGGAGTACGAGGGCATGTAATATCTCTAGTTTCCATGACTTTGCTGTGCGAAACCTTTACTCCCGTGTATTTTATCATATCATCAGCCTGGTCTTCATGTGCTTCGTGTCGTCCAGCCTGGGCCACGAGGAGGAGCATGTTGGCGTTTACGTACGTCCCCAATGTCCCAGGGGCTCCTCTGGTGTCCATGCTGGCCGGGGCGCGTGGGGCAAGGGACGTCAGTAATGGAGATGGGGTAAGCTTCCTGGGAGCAAGCTAATGCGGGGCTCTTTTTTACCCTCGTTGCTCAAGTGGATAGAGAAGGGCATATAGGCGGGCGGTATAGAGTCTAGTCTTTCCTTCAGCATGGGCTACAGCACGGTTCCCTGCCCTTGACATCGGGCTTACTTATCACTGTTCATTGTACAGTTTATGCGGTTTGCCGAGCTCGAAGATAAGGCAGGTTGGGCGAACTTTTATTTGTCTCGAGATCAAGACGGCGGGACTTGGAATAAGTCTCCCTTCTTTATCAGAATTGCCCTACATCCAAAGTGGGTTGCGCGTGTTCTCCAGGCGCCAATAACACGACCAAAAATGTATATATAAGTACCATGTGGTTTCCCAAAGCGAACCGGAAAGAAGTTGAACCTTTTGCTTCCACAATTCACCTGGGCGGGCGGTACGGGAACTCGCGCCACGTAAAGCAAGCTCCAACGTCGACACCTTTTTTTGGAGAGCGGGCACGTGAGCGGGCGCGCACAGGAACCTTACGGTCAAGAAGTCGGGCGCGTGCTGCTGGGCAGGCCAGCTTACATGTAGGTGAACACAAGGTTGCGGCCGCCACGTGCTGGGGGCGGGTCGCTTCAATATGTAGGTGATGTTTAGGGGGGGAACGGACGGATGGACGGACGGACGTGCCAGTCATGACTGCAGACTGACGACAGAGCGGGAACGTATGGGTTTGCCTGGGTCTGTTGCTTGCAGGGAATGCCTACATAGCGATAGCGGTTCGCCGACCGCTACAGACCGAGCATGACAAGGACGGGGTGGGAGAAAACGAAACGAACAGAGGAAACAGAGACGGCCGAAGCGGTTCATTGTTCTACTGACTACTCATCTCTGGGAGAGGGAAACACGGGGCCCGCCTCGCTTGCGCCGAAGGGCTCGATCAGGACCGCGCGTCTAATAACACGGTGCTTGGCGCGAGTGCTGGTCCACAACGCTGATGGGCTGGGCTGTAGGAGTCGAGACCGGAGTTAGGCGACGGTAGCCTGGACTCGGACAAACCACCCATCGGGCGGGGGGAGAGAAGACGACGAGATGCATCGTGTCAGAACGATGGCCGATTGTTGGATACACGGGGGCGGAGGGGGTCGGTGGGTGAAACGTCATGCTGGGTGCAGGTGCCGTTCGGTTCGTCAAGGCCTGTCGCGGGTGCCTCGAGGTGCGTTTACGTCATTGGCTGAAGGGCGCTTGGTTGTTGAGGCTTTGGCTGCCGAGGCGACGGCTTTTTTTTTTGTTTCTTTGTATGTGTATTTTTGGCTAGGCGTCCAGCTTCCTGATTGAGCTTACCCCAAAACAAAAAGGAAGAAAGGGCGCTGCACGCCAATCCCGCGTCCCGCAGAGGTGGGGCTGCCAGCTGAGGTTCCAGCTTTTCTCCCAATGGGCCGGTCAATTAAGACCCCCCCCCCTCGCGACAGGGCAGAGTTGCCAGCGGAGCAGGTGGTGGCCAATTGCCCGGACAACCCAGCCCCCTGGTTATTTACTTTGGGCAGGGCGGCTTACAAGGTCGCCAGCTTTGGAGAAAATGGGAAGGCGGGCAACCACATCACCTACCCTCCCACCAAGCCGTCTCGTTCGCTCGCTCGCTCTTACCAGCCACGCCCCAAAACTCAAACTTTGCAGAAAAGTGTTTGGCGGTTTCGCGGATTTCTGCAACAAGGGAACAACGATTTTGTAAAGTTTGCAAGTCTCCCAAGCAAGCAACACTCGCACACACACTCTCTCTACCCTCCTCCCCCTTATTCCCCGCCCAGTCGAGGTCTCACGAGCTCCCCATTCAGCAGCCTGAGTTTTGATTAGCCTTTTGGGGATCTGACGCTCTCTGCGAACATTCCTCCTCGCCTCTAGGTTCGTTGCCCAACTAGCGACCGGACCTTTTTTTCCTTAGCTCCCGACCGAAACACACACCTTCGCTCGACAGAGAGACACCAAGACATAGGCCCATACCGAGACAAGAGGCTTCTCCTCCTCCTCCTCATCCGCATACGAGTCGCTGTCGTGGTAGTCGTTGTCGTCGTCGCAGGGGCCGGAACCAAGCGACATTCCAGGGCCTGGGGGTTTTGGGGCTTGCGCCTGCGCCGTCACCGTCACCGCTCCTTTCGCAGGGACCGGAATTCTGCGCGCATATTCTCCACCGAGACACAGCTGGGCCCCCGACAGAAAGCAGAAAGGCTCCAGGACACCTTTCTCTCAATCAGCCCGAGCGGGAACAAGGAGCCTGCATCCCCGAGTCCGTCTTGTTTCTCGCTACAAGCCGGCCGTGACTGGCATTCTTGAGCCCCAGTGCTCTCCCCCGCCGCCCTCCCCAACCCGTCGCTTCGCTCAGGGAGGACGGTCCTGGGCTCAGCAGGGTCACTGTTAAACCAACACCCCTGAAGTAGCGGCGCGGCGAGACACAGATTCGGACAAGATGGCGGAGAAGTTCGCAGTCGGGTGGTGGCGTGAGTAGAAATCCCCCCTATTTTCCATAGTCCCTCCGCTGGAGGCGGTGAGGGATCGTTCGACTAACCGCTGTCGCATTCCCGACAGAGTTTGTACCATTCCTGGGCTACCACCACGTGCTCATGATCCTGATCGGAGTCGCCATCATCCTACTATCATTACTGCTGGCCGGCTGCTCGTCATCGTCACCATTGATACCCGACATCTTCCTGCTCTCGCTCTACTACCAGAAATACACAGCCGTCCCGGACACGGCGCAGGTCAACTACAACTTCAACCAGGCCATCGCAGGAATCGCCGGTAACGCCCGTCTGCAGGCTCGTGTCGGCTACTTTGGTATCTGCGTCAACGCCGATGGCGGCTCCTGGCTCTGCTCCAACAATGCCACCTCGCTGGCCGACCAGATCGCCGTCGACCAGGACCCCCTCAACCTGATCTGGCTGGCCGCGCAGTTCAAGGACATGATTGTCTTTCCCTACCTGATGTGAGTTTGATTGGTAGACATTTGTCCGTCCTGTCACATGCCGCTAACAGACATTCCTCCTGCAGCATCATCGCCATCATCTTCGCCTTCATCTGCCTGCTCCTCCTGGCCACCTTCCCCGGCTGGCATGAGGACACGGACAGCGAGGGATCGGAGCGCGAGGTCAAGCCCTTCCCCTCGAGGCCTGTCAGCCAGGTGGCACTGGCCATCATCTTCATCGCTAGCATCTTTGTCCTGGTCAGCGTCCTCTGGCAGCACACGGCCTCGGTGGCGGCGAGCGTCATAGCACAAGACTTTGCAAACGGCAGCGTTCTGAGCGGCGTCGGGACCAGCGCCATGGTAATGGGCTGGTTCAGCTTCACGCTGCTAATCGTCGTCACCATCGGCTTGCTGGTCATGATCCTCAGCATACGCGTCCTCAGCCAGCTGGCAGGATGATGACGGCGCGCTCCTTTGGTGTGCCGGCGAAAGAGGGATGGCTCCCTTTATGTTTTTGGTGGAAGCCAGCGTGTGGAAAGAGAAGACGTCAACGAAATGAGATGACATGCACGAGCAACTGCATTTCTTTTTTGTTTACCTCCAGCCACCCAAGGCGAGTGAGGAACAAAGGGGGCCGTTGCAGGCACGTGGTGGGAGGGGGTATTGAGTCTAAGCACCGGGCAAACATACGCAGGCCAGGTATGGACGCAGACGGGCGCTCATGGGCAGGGAGCTGGTTTCCCGCGACGAGACCGGTCCAGTCCTGCCTTGAGAGCGTTCGCAAACCCCCCACCTACACCCAGCCCGCCGGGGCCCTCCGCGGGTCCTTTGGCTCCCCTCGTCGACTGCATTCGACCTTCTGTTACGAGACGGGGTGGTCACGGGTGTGGGAAGTGTTCTTCACAGGCAGCCAAGGTTGGTTTTGCCATGCGTGCGTGTGGGAGGCTTGTTTGGATTTGATCTGCATCTTCTTTGGGCCTGGGATATCCTGTTTTTGTTTTTGCCGTTTCTCTTTCATATGAGTGGTCGGACGGCCTTGCCATCTCAATGTCTTTTTTCCCCCTTCTCTATCTTTTCTTGCCTGGGTAATATCTTCTTGTCCTGACCTTGGGGAGGTGAGAGCATCTCTGGTTCGTCATGGGAGAAGGTGTGTGGACATGTACATGATGAAGAGATGAAATACCTCGATATGGATTGCATCACGGAAAAAACGGAGTTAAACAAAGACGGCTTGATTTTGTTCTTTTTGTCTTTCTGCCTTACCGTCTTGTTTTATACGAACGACTTGACTTATGTGTTTGTGTTGCACTCTAGTAGATAGTTTAATTAGCCTAGATACCTGAACGCCCCCACCTCACTCTTGCTATTCCATCGTCCGTCTCGTTTGCACTGTCCCCTCGTGCTTCTTGTCTGTTGGGTGTTGCTTGAGCCTTGTGTTGATGACCTCAACCCCCTACCATCTTATAAGCTCATTGTCGAGAAGGAATCGATGTAGCCATGCCCCCTTGTACTGGGCCGGTTTTGAAACCATGAAAATGGTGATGGATATCGACTTTAATGCGCTCACTTCATTCAGCCTTCGCATGCAACATGTGTATGACGAAAGCTCGGCGCTTCGTCAACTTTTGGTATTATAAGAACGGATATAATTCAACGCAGTCTGATAGGTCCCAGGACCGGTACCGCACCGCGTCCGGATGCCCATACCTACCCACCTACCTTTCGTCCTAAGAGATCCCGAGCCTCGTCTTGCAGCCGTTGCAGTAGCCCACCCTTTTGGTGTAGAACATCTCTCCTTGGGTGGGTCGCATTTCGATCTAATCCAAACACTGCTCCTCAAAAAGCATGGGGTGTACATGCCGTCGTCTTTAGTCGTAGTCTGTTCGTAACAGTGTGTCTTGTCGCATAGCGGCTTGTAGCAGTCCTCGTTATGGCACTGGTCGCCGGCGCACTTGTAGATGTAGTGTTCGAAGAGGCACATGGTGGGCTTGTCGGGTGATGATGGTGTGCTTGGGTTCGCCGCTACCCCCGCAAGTTAAGATTGGGTTTTGCGATGCTGTGAGTGATTGCAGGACGATTTAATGGAGGATAGAGTGGGAAGGATATGAATATAGGCTTCATATGCTCCTTCGGGGGACTAAAATGATGATATCGAGACCACAGTGCCCTTTGTTTCTTTAATATATTAAAGGCGAATCTGGCTTGCTGTTTGAGCAATGCAGTGTTGGGCTTTGACAACAGCCTGTATGAATGAAATAGCGAGATAGCATATCCCTTGTTTGAACACTGTATTATATGTTGTGAGTAAGAGTACAGGTGCTGCCACTGATTTCCCTGTCTGGGAAGTAGACTACCTCTCAAGGTATCTATCTCCTAGGTACGAAGAAAACCCCTGGCCTCAAGACAAGCAACCCTAGTTCGACAGCTCCTCGGACTCCCTACCCAGCATCTCCTCGGCCCTGGCCAGCGCCTCCTCGGCCATGCCGACAACCTCGTCCTCGTCTTCGAGCCCGGCGCTGATGCGCACCTGGGCGGCGCGGTTGCCGTACGCGTTGTGGTACTCTGCCGTCTCGACCTGGCCCTTCTTGCCAAACGCCAGCGCCGCAAAGGGTATGGCCAGCGTGCGGTGGGCGCCCAGGTGCGGGCCGTGGAAGTACTCGAGCGAGTCGTAAAAGGCGGTCGCCATGCCGACCGTTTCGAAGTCCACGCTCAGCAGGCACCCGTGCCCGGCCCTGAACTCGGGCGTGTCGGGCCGCATGGCCGCGGCGTAGCTGGCCGCCGTGCTCGTGTAGGGCGGGTAGTTGACGCCCGTGATTACGACGTTGCTGCTGCTGCTGCCGCCACCGATGCCCTCCTGCTGCTGCTGCTGCTTCTTCCGCCGGCCGTCGAAAAGGGCGGCCAGGGCGGCGGCGTTGCGGTTCAGGACCGCGGTGCGCGCCAGGTAGTCTGCGCTGTTGGCCACGAGCTGCGCGGCGTCGGCGGCGAACAGCTCGTTGACGAACTGGTCCGCAAACACGCGCGAGATGTCCGCATAGTGAGCCGGTATCGACTTGTTCAGCACGATGGAGCCGCCCATGACGTCGGCGTAGCCGCTGAAGGACTTTGTGAGCGAGCTCATGACCACGTCGGCCACGGGCAGCATATCGATGTTTGCAAACGACCCCACCGTGTCGTCCACCACGAGTGGGAAGCCGTATCTGTCCGCCAGCGCCCGCAGCTTCACCAGGTCGGCCGAGACGAGGATGGGGTTGGACGGGAACTCGAGGAAGCAGTAGCTGACCCCTCGCCCCTCGGCCGCCTCGGCTGCCAGCCACGCCTCCAGGTCCGCCAGCAGGCCGGGCCCGTCGTGGCAGTGGCCAAAGTGCTTCATACCGGCGGCCGACTCGTCGAACAGATGCCACGTGTTCTTGAACACGGACCCCAGCACCAGCACCCTCCCCGGCCGGTGCCGCGCCAGCGCCTGGTGGCACCGGTAGATGGCCGCCATGCCCGTCGGGTACAGGAACACGTCCTCGGGCACCACCGTCTCTGCCCTGGCCGGCTCCAGTGGCGCCCGTCGCAGCAGCTCCGCTATGCGTCCGCGCAGCGCCGCGTGCGCGCCATCCTCGCGCAGCCCCGACCAAGACCCGGGCGCGGCGGCGGCGTCGCCGTCGACCTCGACCAGCGACGTCTCAACGTGCGGCAGCAGCGCCTCTGCCAGGCGGCTCGACACGCCGAGCCCGCCCGTCTGCCAGGCGACGCCCAGGGCCTTTGCGGCCGCGGCGGGGCCGACGACGACGCGCAGGCGGATCCTGTCGCCACCATCGGGGCCGATATCGACGGTGCGGAGCGACAGGTCCGCCGGGTCCTTGACCTGGTGCTCGAGCCGCAGCGGCGAGCAGGCGAAGGCGCGGGCCAGCTCGAGGGCGTCGGCGGCCGTCAGGGCGATGCATGTCTGCGTCTCGCTCAGGCCGAGTTTTTTCGAGATTGCGGCCGTGAGCTATTTTGATTTGATTAGAGGCATACATAACCTTGGAAACTACAGCGAGGAAAGGGATCACAAGGGGAATCTAATATGATGGCGCGGACGATTCCGACTCACCTGGCGGCACAAACCCCAGGGGGCGAAGCGAGGGTACATGGACACCAAGCGGGAGAACACGGCCGGGTCGCCGTCGCGGATGCCCATGGCCGAGTCCCAGCCCTTGGCGTGAATGGTGACCGTGTGAGGGCCCTCGGGCGGGCACGAGTGCCCGTACTCGGTCTTGTTGATCCTGGCCGGCATTGTCCCTTTTGTTTTCCGCTCTGCTACAGAATACGGAACTGGTCCGTCTAGGGACCAAAGAGCGAAGTACCTGCCAACAAAGGAGGTCGGGTTGACGGCTGGCCAAGATTTTATAGCCTGGGGGTTACTCGCCTGCCAAAGGCCTCTCTCTTGGACGACCTCTCTCTTGGACGAGGTGTGGTGAAGTGGGGGTTTGGTGTCAGTCAGCACCCAACGCTACGCAGCGTCGCCACCAATAGGCAGGCCCCAACGCCAGCCCGAGGATGGCGCCTTCGGTTGCAAGTGTCTAGCCTCTAGCCGAAGACTCGCATCTGTTAGATTCCAGCCGCATGAAAACAGCAGGCAACTGTCAAAGCAATATGCGCCATGGACAAACAAAAGAAAGCTTGTTTTGGGCTAGCCATATCCAAAAAAAAAAAAAAGCAATGCACATGCCGCAGCGAACAAAGGCGCGCCTGCACCAACACTATCCAACACCGTCCCAATCTTGTCGTACACATCACGCTGCCCCCTTTTCTTCACGCTACTCTCTCTACTACCAATACTTCCTCTGCCGTCCCTCAAAACCAAGGTTGAGAACCACAGCCACAAATAGCGAGATGCAGAGTGCCGACGGCCCCCACTTGTCGTAGTACTTGGCTGACGCCCTGCGCGTCCGGATTGCCCGGCTGCGGTGGAGGTATATGACCACCGAGTAGAGCAGACACAGGACCGCCAGCAGCGTGAATGCACCCGCCGCCACGAACGCCGCCCCGTTCGGCTTGTCGCCGAAGTTGAGCAGCGTCGTAGCAATAGTACCAACGTAAATCGAGTACTCGAGCTGTTGTTTGCATCAAAGGCTCGGTTAGCTTGCTTCTAGACATAGGACGAGACATGATCTCTCACTTACCCATCCTAAAAAGGTACGCTCGGCGGCAAAAAACACCTTGGGCTCCACGCGGACCGGCACGTGGATCTTCTTGCCCTTGGGTGCCTTGAACCGCTTCATGTGCGTCTCCCCACTCCCAAACAGCATCTGGTTCCTTTCGCTCCGCGGGACCTGCGTTCCCCGCGGCCGCGGCACCACGTACTTCAGCACCGTCAGCGCCCCCCGCCCGGCTGCCGCACCGTAGACGGAGAGAAGGGTGGAGTAATAGTCCCAGCCGCCGACGCGCCGGGCCTCGTCCAGCCTCGTGTCGTCGTCCTCGAGATCCGAGTCGTACACAGGGTAGTCCTCATCCACCTCAGGCTGCTCCGTTGTCTGATCCTCGGCATCGAGGCCAGCCCGGCGACCGTTGGCCGCAGCCTGGGTCGAGGACTCGCCGTTCTGGTTGCCGGACCCCTTGGCACGGGCGGCGCCGCCATTCTCAGCCTCCTCTTCCTCGTCCGAGTCCAGGTCGTCCTCCTCGTCCTCCGACGTGCCCGTCCCGATGGACTGGGGCCCGGGCCTCCTGATGCCAAAGTTGTGCGTGCGCGGCTTCCTGATGTCCACGTCCATCTGGGGCAGCCAGAAGGGGAGGAGGTTGATGCGGCTGGGGAATAGGCAGGCGGTGCCGTGGATGAACTTGGAGAACTTGGGCACCGACTCGACCAGGTGGCTCGAGATCAGCTGGCGGACCCACTCGGGCGGCTCCTGGCCCATCTGCGTCTGCAGCTTGACCTCGAGGACGGCGTAGGGGAACCGCTCAATGTCCTTGGGCGGCAGCTGCGAGAAGGGGTAGTCGATGCCAATGTCGGTGCGGCGCCAGTTGTCGCCGGTGCGCTGCTTTCCGTCCAGGTTGTCCTCGCGCACCATGCACAGCTCCGTGTCCAGAGATATGCGCACGCGCGCGTCGGCCGGCAGCTGGAAGGCCGTTCGGTTGTAAAAGGAGCGGCAGACGGGCTTGTAGCCCTTCTTCAACACCGAGTACTGGACCTCGGCCGCCAGCCTCTCGTCCTCGGCGATGGCCTTGAGCGACTTTTTGCCCTCGCGTCTCGCCTTCTCAAAGATGGCCGTCGGCAGGAGCTCTCCCTTCATGTACGCGTTCACGTTCTTCTCTTTAATGGAGAAGCGCGCCTTGACCGACTTCTCGCCCGTCCAGTCCTCGCGGTGCGTCTTGCGCTCGACGAAAATCGTCTCGTTCTGCATGCCACCGTACCACCGCAGCCGGATCGCCTCGGCGCCCTCCGTCTTCTTGAGACGGCCCTCATACAGATCCCACTTGTCCGGGTTGTCGTAGTAGATGGACGTGATGGCCGAATCCTCCACCTCGAACTCCTTGCTCGCGTTGAAGACGAGGACGGGCAGGTGCTTGAGGATGATGAGCTTGAGCTCCGTCACGTTGTCCGGGTGGACCCAGTACTTTGTCGTCTGGCGCACAAAGTTGGCCTGGCTCCCGCCTGCGGCGCTGTCGCCCTTGACGGGGTTACCGCGAGTGCGAGTGAGGTCGTAGAGCTTGGAGAGCTTGACCACCTGGGCGTCGTAGTTCTCCTTGTAGAAGGGCTTGGCCTTGAGGCGGCTGTCGAAGACGGGCTTGAGGTGCCAGTTGGTCGTCTTGTCGTGCTTCTTGATAATCTTATAGAACCCAGTATAGTTGACCTGGACGAACTTGGCGAGGTCGTGCACATCGGCAATTATATCGCTCAGATCCGCCTCGAGCAGCTCAAACTCCTCAGCCGACGGCCCGGGGCCGGTGCCGCGTTCATTCTGACGGTTGACCAGATCATTGACCTCCTTCTCACTGACGGCGATGCGTCTCGAGATCTCGATGGCCTTGACCTGCTGCTTGGTGTGCACCTTGTCGAGCTCGGCCTCGAGCAGGCGGACGAAGCGGCCCTCGTCCTCCTCGGACCATTCGCGGCCGCCGGCGCCCTCGGTCGCGTCATCGGGGCGGGAGCGGAAGGGCCCCGTGGGCTGCTTCAGCTCGGCCTTGAGGCCTGGGTAGTCGATGTAGTACCATTGGTAGTCCGGGAGGATGCTGGCGCGCAGCTGCTCGGCAAACTTCATGACGACGACGTTAGGGCGCAGAAGCTGGTACGGCCCCGAGAGTCGAGTCGAGTGCCAAGACCGCTTTCTAGAGGTGAGGTCGTCTTCGATAATCAGCATCGATCAACGATGGAAAGGAAAGGGCGCGGGAGCAGTAGGTCGGTCGGTCGAGTGTGGGCAGGTGATGACAACAAACAGTCCTGCTGGCAACGGTTATTTCTGGCTTGTCCATAACAGCAAGCTTGGGTCGGGGTGGGCAGCTGGGGCCAGGTATCTGCCTGCACCTACCGGGTTGGACGTGTTACAGCACGAGACGCAGTTTCGCCAGGTCGTCGTTAACGTGAGGCCAGCTGCAGCTGCTTCCAAGAGAGGTGGATTCAACGGGGTTGGATGGGTGGTGTGGGTTAGTCTGTCTTGTGTCTCCCGGCAGACCTGTGCCGATGGACTATGGTGATATGGTAAAATAAATAGGTCGAGGTTTGTTATGGCTGCATGTTGCCGCGGCAGCTCAATCGCTTTTCCTGCCGCGCTCCGAGTCGAGACGCGAGACCGGGTTGGGCAAATAATAGTGGATTTCTGTCCGCGGAAGCTGCCGCTGCGAGGTTGCACATGTTTTTCGACACGGCTCTGTGATTGGCCAATTGCTTCGCCATGTTGGAAGCTGCGTCTCGACCCCCTGCGACTGGGGCGAGAGAGTGCCCCGCACCACCACCAGCGCGACCAGGACGCAGCCAGCCGAGGGGTAAATTAAAAAATATAAAAAAAAGTAGAGAGATCAAACAAGACATTCGAGCCACCACACCGAGAGCTACCCCTGGACCCAAGACACAAGGATGGCAACCTCCGACGCCCCGGCGCAGGGTGCAGCCCCCTCCTCCCCGGCCCCCGCCCGCATCTCGTCCGACTGCCCGGACGAGACGGCGCAGATCCTGCGCGCCGCCGCCGCCCACGACGTCGCCGCGCTCAAGAAGCTGCTTGACAGCCCCGGCAAGGCGAGCGCGCAGGACCCCGCGACGCGCGAGACGCCGCTGCACGCCGCCATCCGCTCCGCCGCCACCGCCTCCTCCTCGGACGATGATGCCAAATCAACAGCAAAAACAAGAACAACAGAAGCCGCCAAGGCCACCCTGACGGAGCTCTTCTGGTCCGGCGCCATCTGGAACGACGTCGACGACGCCGACGAGACGCCCGGCTGCCTCGCCCTGCGCCTGGGCCTGCCCGAGCTATACACCATGTGCAGGGACGCCGGCGTGCGCGCCGAGATGCTCTTTGGCGTCCTGGACGGCTACGAGGCCCTGTCGAGCGGCGACGAGGACGAGGCCATTGCCGAGGACGCTGCTGTTGCTGGTGACGCGGACCCGCTAGAAGACGGGGACGAAGCGCCGCAGCTTGTCGACGTCGACGCCAAGGGTGAGGAGGCGGCCGATCCGACCGCAGTGCCGAGCAGCGAGGAGGAAGCAAAATCCGCCCCCGCAGCCACCAGCGACGCAGACACAAACGCAAGCGCAGTACAGAAACAGGGCGAGCACAAGGTCGAGAGCGAGACGTATCTCCGCTCCAAGCTCACCTACTTGGATGGCAAGCTCGTCGACGACGACGGAAACGGCGTCATGATGGCCTGGGAGACCGAGATCATGCGCCGCAGCGTCCACGCCCTCCTCTCCCCCGCCTCCGACTCCTCCGCAGACCCCCTCCCCTCGGGCAAGCGCATCCTCAACATCGGCTTCGGCATGGGCATCATCGACTCCATGTTCGCCGCCACGAACCCCTCGCGCCACCACGTCATCGAGGCCCACCCGGAGGTCCTCGCCCACGCTACCACATCACCCGACTCGGCCTTTGGCGCGTCCTGGGAAGCCCGCGGCCCCGAGCCGGGCGCCTACAAGATCTTTGGCGGTAGGTGGCAGGACGTCTGCCACGGCCTGCTCGAGGCCGGCGAGGTCTACGACGCTATCTACTTCGACACTTTCGGCGAGGACTACTCGCAGCTGCGTCTCTTCTTCACCGACCTCGTCCCGGGTCTGCTGGACCAGCGTGGCCGCTTCGGCTTCTTCAACGGCCTCGGCGCCGACCGCCAGGTCTGCTACGACGTCTACACCAGGGTTGTCGACATGCATCTCTCCGAGGCCGGCATGGACGTCGACTGGACCCCCGTCGACGTCGACATGGATCGCATGCGCGAGGCCGGCGCCGGGGAGTGGGAGGGCGTCAAGAGGAGATACTGGACTCTCGACAGTGAGTTTACATCTTACCCCAGGTATCAGAAGGTCTTAAAAAAGCTAATGTCTTTTTTTCTATAGAATACCAATTGCCTGTGTGCACTTTTCTAGGCTGAGCATCAAGCCTTGCCCAGACGACGAGAACTTGATCAACCAATGGCCACGCCAATACCAAGACTATATATATCCAGACAGCGCCCATCGACTCCTCGCACAATCGTGTCCCAAGCTCACAACACCCTACTCATGGTCTATCACGAACACGTCCCTACCTGGCCAAGTGGTTCACGGTCCCTTGGAGCATAGAGACACCCCGTAGGACTGCCTGGCGGGCTTATTTGAAGTTGTCCGTGTTCCGGATGCCCGCCACGTTGCCCTCCTTGACGCGCTTGATGGTTAGGGCGGCGATGAGTGCGGCGCCCACGCCACTGCCGTCCTCGGCCGCCAGGATCTCAATTGGGTCCTCCTCCTTGGGATCCGTCTTCTCGGGCCAGTCGAGGATCTCGCGCAGCGCCTTGGCCCCGCGCGCCTTGAAGTTGGGGTACTTGTTAAACACGGACCCGTCGGCGCCGACATGGCACGACTCGTAGCCCTTCTTCTTGCAGATGGCCGCGACACCGCACGACGAGAGACGCGCCGCCCGCGTGCCGATGAGTTCGGCCGTCCTCCGGATGAGCTCAAGCTCATTCTTGTTGGGATGGATGTTGAGCTTGGACTGGAAAAGGTCCGACGTCTCCTGCAAGTTCTCGAATGGGTCGCTACGAGAGATTGTCAGCAGAGCCAACACTAGGCACTTTGAATTCACCCCGACAGTGGTTTGGGTACGTACTCTTCAATCGCGGAAAGGAAGGACGAATCGAGGGTGTAGGCTCTACGCAGCTTAGAAATGTCCTGGTTGGCAAAGATGCGCGTCTCGTGGTTGTCGTGCAGGTCAACGAGGATCAGCCGGAATATCTCGCCCAGGTACAGGCCGGCAATCATCTTCTCAAAGGCCTGTTGCCCGGGCCGGGGCGAGTCCTCGTCGATCTTGACGTCGTAAGGAGTCCTCGGCAGGACCTTGTGCTGGTTGTCGAATGCACCCCACTCGCAGTTTATGGCCATGGGCGTGTCAGGTGGCAGGTTCATATGGGCCAGCTTTGGGATGGAGCCGCAGTTCTCCATGTATGCTGCGTTGCAGCCAGTGCCAAAGATGCAGCCAATCCTCATCTTGGTGTCGGTGTAGGCCGAGGCGATCAAAGTCCCCGTAGTGTCGTTGATTAGCGCAACCAGTTTGACAGGCACTCCCTGACAGTGTAGGAAACCGGTCAGCAAGTGGCTGCATTCATCCGGCAGCCCCGTAGCCAGAGGCGAGAGCAGTCCGTCCTACCTTCTCCTTGAGCGCCGACATTAGCATCGGGGCGACATCCTTGCCCTCGACGCCAGATATGTCGAAGCCCTTGGTCCAGCGCTGCAGGATGCCCTCGTCGACGTAGTTCTGAGTTGCCGGGTACGAGAAAGTGAAACCAAGCGGGATTTTCTCCAGTTTCTTGGGATCGCCGTGGTGGGTTTCGATGAACTGCTGGAGGCAGTCGGCGATGTACTCCCACAGCTCGTCCGACTGGCCAGTCTTGAGCTCCTCGGGCATGCGGTACTTGGACTGGATGATGTCGAACTCGGACTTCTGGTCCGTCAAGGTGATCTCGCAGACGCGGAGGTTGGTGCCTCCCATATCCAGAGCCAGGAAGGTCCCCGTCTCATGGCCATCCGGGAACGACATGACCCACGTAGGGTTCATGGGCTGAGGGAAATCACAGTCAGTCTCAGCATTACGACGAGGCGCAGATGGGGGCCAGAGGCGATGCCCTTACAATATCGCCGCCCTCACCAGTCAGACCTCTCTCGAGCTCGCCGACAAAGTGGTTTGTGATCTCCTTGAGTTTAGCCGTGTCGACGGCGAACATTTCCTCAAGGGTCTTGATCTCCTTGAGGAGATCCTTAGGTATTTCGGTCATGGTGCCTGGATTGGCGGAACAATTGTCAGCGAGGAAGGTCCCTGCGATCCAATATGTGAAGACCAAGGCGAGCCTTGCCTGAGGTGTGGGGGTGGTGGTGGTATGAGTGGCCGCTACGCCATCTGGTAGGCAGAAAGCGCCCGTTTTCGACCGAATACGACATGTGTGTGGTGGTTTAGGAAAGGAACTAGATGGTTGGAGAACTACTCCTGATATTGAAATGGATACAAGCGATAATTGGATAGATAGGGTTGACGGCAGGTCGACGCCTCAAGGGTCCAGGCGTGGAGGGATTGAATTTCAAAGATGACTGCGACAATTGGGTTTCGTATGTGGAAAGAAAGACAACCACGCCCCGCGCATTGGTGGGAGATGGATTTGAGGGAAGTAAATAAAATCGATGAAATAAGGTACCAAGACAAGCAGGGTGGCAGGAAGGGGAAGACACTGCAGAAGGCAAAACACCATGAGGCAGCCCGCAGGCCTCCCCCACTTGGGGGATTGACCGGAGGTATACGCTGGTAAAACAAAACAGAAATAGAAATTAAAAAGGCCAGGGCCAGATGCGATGAACTGCTATGGTGGCAGCGGCACGAAGACTGCCCGGCTTTGGGTTTCGGAGATTGAAGAAAAGCGTCGAATGTGATGATCCGGATAGAGCACGTTTTCTGTGACGGTGGCGGCGGCAACCTCCAGGAAAGCGCCGTGATACCTACCAGTTGCGTATAAGAGCGACAGTGCGGACTGTGGCTAAGAGATGCGCATGCACTGATGCGGGTGGATGGCAGCAGCGTGAACGGCAAGAAGGGGAACGGGAGGAGCTGCTGTTTCGCGCGGCCTGGCTGTCAAAGGAGGGGTAGGTCTGGTATGGATGGATGGATGGATGGATGGATGCGGTTTCGGTCTGGACTAGCAGCAGGCAGCTCCCGTCGGCTATCGGGTCTATGTCTTCCTTTTTCTGACTGTGGTGGCACCAGGCGCGGCGGCACGGCAGCTCGCCCAAACTCTTGGAGAAGAGCCAAAACGGATGTGAAGGCAGTGATGCAATCAAAAAGGCAGCATGGTCCAATCGAGTCTTGACCAGGGTAGGTATGGGCGAGGGATTGGGGCAGCCGTCTCCTCAAGTACTGTGTGCTTCTGGTATCCAACCGCTCACTCAGCTCCCTTGGGTAGCGTTGGACGGGGAGGGTGCATGTCGCGTGGGCTCTGGCCCAGTCTGGAAGGATGGTGATCTCCGCCACGCCAAGTCTCTTCGAGCGTCTTGTCCGCAACCTTGTCGGACCGGTGTGGGCAGGTGGAGGCAATAGATATCAAGGGGACAAGAAGGCAATAAAATAGTGAAAGCCTATGGTCAGACAGATGACTGTTTGCTTAATAGTGTGGTCGGCTCAAGGGGGCAACACAGGGAAAGAAAGGGGAGGACGAGGCGCGATAGGAAAGGCTAAAATGAGGCCAGGGGGTGGGTGATCACGCTGAGTGATTCCGGGCACAAAGGTTTGCGTGGTATGCCACTTGACACCGTATTTCCCGCAAGTAGCTTGCTGTCTGATAAAGAAACCAAAAAAAAAGCAAAAATACTCGAACCAGGACAGAGGCAGTCTTGCTCACCCCCGCCCCGGGCTGGATGCTGGAGGCGCGATTTGGTGCAAGCAACTTGGGGGGTCAGGCGGCAGCACTACCAGCCATTGCCGAGACCGCGCCGCCTTGGTCAAGCCGATGGGTGTGGCATGCGGGAAGGCAGGCAAGCGAGTCTTGTGCTTTGGAGGGGGCGGGATAGATAACAGGCGTGACTAGAAAGCTGTTTGGGGCACACATACCAGTACCTTTGCGAGCAGGCGGCTTCTTTGGACCCAGCCCAACCATATTCACTGATGCTGATTATAATTGGATAGCGTTATTGTAGCACCACACTGTTTGTGGCGTCGGTGACGGCGCGAGGGGTGGCCGTTGGCGTTGGACAGGGTGACAGGCTGTCGCCGTTGGAACTCGGACAAGGCGATGCGATATCTCACGCAGAGTTTCGAGTATTTTGCAGCTCGAGTGACGGAATGTTCACTCCAGCTTCATTCGCTGTCACCTATGGACGATTGAAATAGAGCCCGGCGGGTCCACGCTCCCACCTTCCGCCGGGCAATGCCATGGTCGTCCATGCCACCAGAGCTTAGGTGCTGTGCACGTTGTAGCGTCCATGGATGGGGCGACGTGCCCACAAGCTGCACCCGCTACCAGCCCCTCAGTGCACAAGGGGAGTGGAGCTTGCCGCCATGAGTTCAATTGGCACCTATTTGTTTGGTTCAGTTGAATTCGAGGATATCAAATGCAGAGCTAGAGCTGGTGATGCCTGCTAGATTCATTCTCGGGTTTCTGGCCACAAACCGAGCAAAGTGCACATTTTGCCTTCTCAATTCCATGTCGGCAAGCTGCTCCCCTCCTTGGGGCAATCCCCAACAGCCGGGGTGGGGTAGAGTGTGGTGTGTGGTTTGCCTTGGAGCCTGAGCTATGACGCAGTTAGCCCCCGCGGTAAAATGGCCCGGGCGCCCAGGCCCTTGTCCTAGCAAGCGAGAGCCGCTAGTGGAGCTCAACAGCCACAGTCTACTACCCCTGGGGTAAATGTGGCGCATGATCGAAACCGCAACGTAAGCTACTTGCCTGAACGGGTTGCTTCAATTGAGGCAAGCTGTCTCGACGGCAGAACCGGTGGAGACGCGCTGAGTAGCGACGAGAGAGCTGAGTTGATCCAGCCTCGGCCACTGACGACCGTTTTCTCTTGCGATCCTGCTACACCCTCGTTTCCTGGGGGCTCTGTGGTCTTTGTCTTTTGTCGCCATTCTTTGCCAGCCGCCGTCTTCAGCAGCGAGTGTGGAGTCCATCCTCTCCGCCTTCCCTCTTTCAAAATGAGGTTCGTGACAGCGGCCCTGCTGTCGCTCCTCGGCGTCGCGGCGGCCAGCTCCGTCGACCTCCCGTCGACCTTCAAGCCCCCACAGGTGTTCAAGAACGCAAACCTCGTCCACGTTGTGTCGCTCGAGAAGAACTACGTCAAGGAGTCGGTCAATGTCCTGATTGAGAACATCGCCTCCTCGCCCCAAGATGAATACTTCATCCCCTTTTCCTCGGACCAGATGTCCCGCATAGGAGGCATCGAGGTCAAGGACAGGAAAAACTCCGAGGCTGGACCTTTTACCGTCGAGGCGGTCGAGTTTGACCCCAAGAGGTGATTACCATACCCTCGTCCGGTTCGTGTAGAGGGGGCTATGGCAGCTAACCAGGGCCTCGGCGCTGCCGCAACCCAGCGACCGGCAGTACTACCGAATCCGCCTCCCGGAGCCGCTCCCGGCCGGCAGCCAGCAGACGCTCGGCATCAGCTACTACTTCGTCAAGGCCTACACGCCGCTCCCGGCTCTGGTGACGCAGGATGCGCCGCAGTTCCTGTCGTACTCGTTCTCGGCCTACTGCCCCTCGGTTTACGTCACGTCCAAGCAGAAGACCGAAGTCAAGGCCGCATCGGCCAACGTGCCCGACTACACCAAGCTGCCTAGCGTCGATGGCGACAAGCCCAACCCGTCCAAGCAGGGCACCAAGCTCGTGTACGGGCCGTTCGGCGAGAAGCCCGCCGGCGCCTCGGAGCCGGTTGACGTGCGGTTCGAGTTCGTCAAACCAGTCACGCACGTGTCCCTACTCCAGCGCGATGTCGAGGTTAGCCACTGGGGCGGCAACGTTGCCTTCGAGGAGCGATACGATCTGGAGCACCGCGGCGCCAACCTGTCGGCGCTCTTCAACCGCGTCAAGTGGGCGCAGCAGAGCTATCACAACTCGCCAACGCACGCGCTCAAGGAGATGAGGTTCCCGCTGCGCGCGGGCAGCAGTGACGCCTATTACTACGACGTCATCGGTAACGTGTCGACCTCGCGCTTCCGCAGCGGCAAGCGCGAGGCCCTGCTCGAGATCAAGCCCCGCTACCCACTCTTTGGCGGCTGGCAGTTCCCCTTCACCATCGGCTGGAACTCGGACGCCAAAAATTTTCTGCACCGCGCCGGAACCGGCTATGTTCTGAACGTGCCCTTCCTCGAAGGCCCCAAGCAGCCCGAGGGTCTTGAGTACGCCAAGGTCAAGCTGCGGGTGCTGCTCCCTGAGGGTGCCCAGTAAGTGTCTATCCGTTTGTGCCTGTGCAGGCACGCCAGTGGGCTTGACTACCAGGTTCGCTAATCTCCCGATGCACACAGGAACATCAAGTTTTACACGTCCATCCCGAGCTCGTCCATAATCTCGACCGAGATTGGCACCCACAAGTCGTTCCTGGACACGATTGGACGCACGTCGCTTGTTATCACAGCGCAGAACCTTGTGGACGAGTTCCGTGACCGTGAGATTGTGGTGTCGTACGATTACCCGCTCCTGGCGAGCCTCAGGAAGCCTATCGTCATTTCATCGAGCGTCTTTGGGCTCTTCGTCCTGACCTGGGCCATCGGCCGGATCGACACCAAGTTTGCGAACAAGAAATAGACCACGAGGAGGAGGGTATCAAAGGATGGATGGCGGATTTCATTTTGTGTACATGTAATACCACGTTTAAAGGGACCGGAGAAGAAAAAAGAAATGGCATTTTTGAGATTTATCTTCTGTGGCTGCGGCACGGCAGCGGTCAGCTGGGACGCAGACCCAAAATCAAGGCTTAGCCGGTGTGTTACGTGAACGTGAAGGGTTCAGAACTTGGCATGCGTCTGGATGCATAACTGACAACGCCCGGCTGTAGTGCTGAGTGCTGAGAACATCCGTTGAACGGTGCAGCTCTTACCTCGGTCTACTGGTAGTTCCCGTCTCCCGAGGAACTGACAAGCTCATCCCTAGCCTATCGCCCTGTCACCACGCATCCACCACCAACGAGCCAACGTCCCCGGCGTCATGCCAGAGCTCTGTTGGGAGACATGGAAGAAAGGTTGATGCATGTGGGGCCAGGGCGAGATGCGGGTACAGCAAAAGCAGGGTTCAGGACCCTCCTTCGCTCTGGCTCCGGATCGGGGGTCATCCCGTCTGCCTGCACCCAAAGCCATGGCCAACCCTGTAATCCGTAAGCAGCAAGCCTCCCCAAACCAGGTCATGCCGTGTGCAGCAAATGTGTCTGGCCATGAAAGGCCAGGTTTCGCAGCAGCACGGCCCCTGCTGGCCCCCAGTGCGGCGGATGGCGTAGTTCGTCGGTTCTTTTCTGGGACTTTTGGTTCCGATTTGCTGCCCTCGCTGCCCTGCCTCGTCGGGCGCAAAGACCAGGGTGGGTGGCGGACCGACACCACGCAGGGACCCTCCTCCATGACATCCCTTACCCGATTACTTCGGCATCACACCCTCTTTTATCGGCGGGACTTAGTAACTTGCAACCCATGGCTCTCGGTGACTGCCTGAGGCTCGGTAGCGGTCATTAAACGGACGGGCTGCGTGATGGGTTCCATTATATAAACTTGGTGGTCCTCCCGCTCATCCTCGACAGCCGTCGTTCCCGTTATTGCCATATTATCGCGACCACACGCCAACCAAGCAAGTCTACAAACTAGTTCACTCCAAAATATCACCATACCCAACAAAACCAACCAGCCAACCAACCCCCGTGTAACAGCCATCACAAGCTCTGCTCGTCAAGATGTGTTTCGGTGCCGAGCCCTCCAAGACAAAGTACTACTACCGCGAGGAGATCGTGCCCGCCGCGAGGCCGTACCACCACCACCACCACCACGGCCACCATGGCCACCATCACCACCACTCGCCCAGGGCAAGCTACGTCTCGGTCTCATCACGCCATCAAAGTCACAGTCACAGCCACAGCCCCCGCGTGAGCACGACCAGCTATCGCACCAGCGGGCCTGTGGTGTACGAGTCCAGCAGGACCCGATATGTTTGAGCGATGCTGGGAACACCGAGCTACCACTTGTCGTTTTGTTTGTCATGTTTTTCAAGATTTATGAGTTATGATTTGCATGTATTCGGTTTATGGAGGTGATAACGGACTAGGGGAAAGGCGTCTTCAGGTCATGAGACTGCTAGATCGGAGAGATATCATTTCGCATGTCCATCTACGCACGTAACCATCATTGTAATGCATGAAGAGAATGAATCTAATTTCACCTCCCAATGGCAGGCCGTACGGGAATTGCCGACATTGGTACCAATAGCTTGGGCCCTTTTCTCTGCATCTCGTCTGATGGCCTTGTGGCTCTTCTGCCGAGGGAGGCACCGAGGAAGCTCCCCGACGGATCGAGAGCACTCGACCCTAGGTGATCCCTGCGGGCCATCGCCCCACCACAGCAAACGTGGGGCCGGGCAGGCAGGGATGGGACGCATGATGTCATCGCTGCTGTCTCGGCCGGCTCCAGCTTTTCGCGTGCCGTCATCATCCACCCTAAAAGACAAAAGCGATGTCATGGCGGCCGCCCGCCTGATTGCTGCCGAGGCGCTATCGTCCTGGGCCTTGTCTTGGAGGGGATGGCTAGAAAATGCTTTGTTTAGTTCTTTGCTACTGTTGTGACTGCAAGTCTCCGATGCCGTCGTCATTGCATGCCCGTGGCGTGGTGCGGTTTTCTAGAGCTGGAGAGCTGGCTGGAGCTGGAGCTGGAGCTGTCTGGAGCGGCTGCCTAGGCGGCTGCCACACCGCGATGGAGCTCAGAGATAGCGCTGTGCTGCGTTGTACATACCTCTAGCTGACCCCCATCTTTGCTCGTCCCTCTTGTCCGTCGTCTGTGAACCACCTACACAAAATCGCGATCCTGCAACGTCCCGAGGCTTGGACCTTCCCCCCTGCTTTAGAGTGGTTGGTGCTTCCTCCAACAGCTCGGGAAGGCTGCATCTGCACTGGAAGCTGCCCGTGGATTGGGCCATTGCTGCCGTTCCTGTATCGCCCAGCCTGTTGTGGGCTCTCCTCCTGGGCGGCTAGCTCGCATCATCACCATCAAAGTCTGTCGGCCATAATCTACACCATATAGGCACCGTTGCCTTCCTCCTACACCCTAAAGCGCAACGTCGACAACGCAAACATGTAGGTCGTCCCGTCCCTGGAGCTGGAGGGCCCCACCGCCTCCCTTCGCGGCTACAGGCATCTCACATGTCAACCCCTGTAGGAATCGGAGTTTCTCCATCCGCTCGAGCAAGAGCCAGCGCTCCAGCGGCGGCTCGGGCCACGGTTTCGGCGGGGGCGGCGGCGGCGCGTCCAACGGCGGGGGCGGCCGCAAGGGTGGCTTCTCCTTCACGTCGCTGCGCGGCACCATGCAGCAGCCCGAGCTGTCGCGGCGGCTGTACAAGCTCATCAAGTCGGAGAACTCGCTCGTGTCGGCGCACGAGGCCGCCGGGCGCGAGCGCCTCTCCATCGCCACGCAGCTGTCCGAGTGGGGCGAGAAGACGGGCGACGCGGCCGTGAGCGACCTGTCGGACAAGCTCGGCGTCGTGCTGTCCGAGATGGGCGAGCAAGAGGACGCGTACGCGCACGCGCTCGAGGACTCGCGCGCCACGCTCAAGCGCATCCGCAACACGGAGCGCAGCGTCCAGCCGTCGCGCGACGGCCGCGCCCGCATCGCAGACGAGATCGCCCGCATCAAGAGCAGGGAGCCGCAGAGCGCCAAGCTCGTCATACTCGAGCAGGAGCTCGTCCGCGCCGAGGCCGAGAACCTCGTGGCCGAGGCCCAGCTGGTCAATATAGTACGCCCGTTATCCAACACTACTTAGCAGTTGTCCGTTTATCGGCAACGAGAAGGGTTTCGGTGAGCTAACCCGAGGCAAAAAAACGAATCCACAGACGCGCAAGAGCCTCAAGGAGGCCTACGACGCCGAGCTGCTCGCCACCATCGAGCGCGCCGAGAAGCAGATCATACTGGCCCGCCACGGCCGCCGCCTGCTCGAGCTCCTGGACGACGACCCCGTCATCCCCGGCGCCGAGCTGGCCCCCTACGGCGGCGCCCCTGCCGGCCGCCAGATCCTGTGCGACTGTGAGGACGACCTGCGCGACTGGCGGCCCGGCTACGGCTTCGGGTCCGAGAGGCCGCTAGAGGGGCCTGCCGCCGCCGCCGCTGATGCCATCCCGAGCGCGACCGGCCAGCCGCTGCAGCAGAGGAGCGCGAACGCCGGTGGTGGCGCGCGAAGAAGCGCCTCCGGGGCGACGGCCGGCGGCGGCAACGGGACGGCCCCGCAGTCGCCAAAGGCTGCCGCGAGCGGAGGCGGCAGCAGCGACTTCGTCGACGGGCCGACCAGCCCTCGGGGAGGCTCGGTGGCTAAGGATAAGAGGAGCGAGGCCCCGGCGCTCGAGTCGTAGGGAGAGACCGAGCTCACCTTTGCGTCGTCTGTTCGGAGCATGCGGTTGTGAGAATGTTTTGGTGGTGTTTAGTGGGAGCACTGATGGGAAGCTGTCGGCCTTTTTGCGGCATGTGGTCGCGAACGAGGGCCGCCCCCTAGTAGCTGTGCAGAGATAAAAAGGGAGTATTAGGTTGGCTTTGGAAATTCTCGGCGTTTTGTGTACTGTATAAGTTCTGTTGCTTTTCCCCAAGTTACTCCCTTAAGCTGCTCAGCAACAAAACGAGTATGATTACAGACCTTGCAAAAGAAAGTCCGGTCAGCCGGTTAAAAAATGTCATTTCAACGGTTGAAGTTTAGGTGCAGAGTATCCAAAAGATCGACCCAGACGGGGCTCGAACCCGCAACCTTCAGAGAATTTCAAGAACCGAAATCTGACGCGATACCATTTCGCCACCAGGCCTTATCGATCATATAAGTTCAGGGGTAATGTATGTTGCTTATAACTGCAAGTGGGGAA